AAAGTACATGTACATTGTAACATTTCATCTTTGTAATTAGTAGGCGTGGTGGTGGGTGTGGTTACCTGTTCCCCTTTAATTGGTGTATCAGTATCTTGTTTTGATTCGTCTTTAGTCTCTTCTCCGTCTTCTCTACTCTCTCCTCCATTATCTTCATCCTTCTCCTTCTTCTTCTCATCTTCTTTACTATCATCTTGATCGTTTGTTACTGGGTCAGTACCAGTAGCTCCTGATGGGGCCTTCTCTTCCTCTGTCTCCATTTTACTTTCATCTTTATCTTCTGTCTCCATTTTACTCTCATCTTTATCTCCATTGTCTTCTTTCTCTCCTTTATTGTCCTTCTCAGTCTCAGGACAAGCTTCTTCATCTTCATCTACTTTACTCTTCTTACTAAGGCCACCACCAGCCTTTAAAATGATAAATATATCATTAATAATAAATTAGATGTCACGTGTACAGTTCATAAAATAAAAAATGGAGAATTCTCTCCTTGTCCGGGTAACTTTAAAAGTTCATGAAAAATCCAAACTTGATTGGAATCAGCTCAAACTTTCTACACAACATAAGAACATGTACCGTAAATATTCAAATAAAAGCCCGGGCGTTTATTTCTTTCCAGGACAAAAAAATTGCGTAAAATAAAAAAAGAAAAAATGAAACCGGGATTTGAACCCGGACCTCCAAGGTCATTGCACTCAGCTTAACAAGTTAGGCCATTTGGGACAATCTAAAGCCTATGGTACTTATATTGACTAAAATATGCGTATCTATGCTTGGAGATTCTTAGTACCAGGCGTTTATTCAAGCCCGGCTTTTATTTGAACATTTACGGTATATGCATCAGATAAAGTTATAAAAATGGAGAATTCTCTACTTTTCATTTTTGGCAAAATTTGGCCCGTGACCCTGTACTATATAGTACAGGGACTTTGGCCCGATTTTAGAGCAACTTTAAAAATTCATAAAAAATCCAATTTAGATCGGAATCAGCTCAAACTTTCTATACAACATAAGTACATTTATATGCATCAGATAAAGTTATAAAAGTGGAGAATTCTCTACTTTTCATTTTTGGCAAAATTTGGCCGTGACCCTGCACTATATAGTACAGGGACTTTGGCCCAATTTTGGAGCAACTTCAAAAATTCATATAAAATCCAATTTTGATCGGAATCAGCTCAAACTTTCTATACAACATAAGAACACGTATATGCATCAGAAAATGTACTCAAAATGTAGAATTCTCTACTTTTCATTTTTGGTAAAATTTGGGCCGAGACCCTGCTCAAACTTTCCACACAACATAAAGACACAGGTACATGCACATGTATAATGATATGTAAAGGTGCTGCTGTCAACCTTTTCAATTGATGACTTTCTCCTTTTCTTTGGCTCA